GAGCAATAGTTATCTAGGTCTTTATTGGCAAGAACAGCTTATAGAGGGATAATAGACCCCTCAAAATGGCTACTCCTTCAATGTGTCACTTTGAGGGAGTCCGCTGTCTAAAGGGAGACTATTCAGGGACAACATCAAACACAAAAACAACACAACAAAGCCCATGATTTTTATGCATAACATCTACGCAATTCTACGGTACCAATAATATATCAAAAGAAACTTTCTTATTGTCAAGACATACAGTATGCAAACAATACAAATCACATTAAGCTAATGAGGCTCCATGTATTTACTGTATGGACCCTCAGTATGTCACTGACAATTGCCTAAACGGAAACAAGATCAAACATGTGATTACTATCTCGTCGAGCAAGAATAAATGTGTAACATAAGACGTAGAAAAGTTCTTTATTTACGTAAGGTTTTAGAAGTTCAACAATTTCAATGAAAGGAATCTGGATAAAAAGTGAAAATAAGGACTGGTTTCAGAAAGCAAAAGGCTGCGAAGATAGTCTTTGTCAAAACAAATTAGTTCATTTCATTATATTTATACGAAATGAGTTTGGGGCAATGTTCTTTCAAACTGAAGTTATCAAGGGCAAGAGTTGTGAGTTCATTTGGACTCCCGTCCCGCCCGAGTGTTATTACTGCACAGCACTGCAGGCGATCTCAGTGTGACTGTGAAGCCCTCTCGCTGCAAATGAAAACATTGATCGGGTGAGTCAGTGCCATGCATTTTTGATTTTACGATCCATTACCTCGTCTGAATGTGGAAGTTGTTTGTCGTCCCCGTATGCTCGTAGTCGTGCACCGCCGCCGCAAAGATCATGGCAAAGATCTCAAGCTCAGTCAACCAATGCTGCGGAGAGAAGAAGCAAAAAGAAAAAGGAGGAAGGGGATATTAGTATATCAAAGAGGAAGGGGGGCAACGAGATGGAAATGACAGGGTCGACGTTGACAGGAAAAAGGGAAGACAGAGTAATGAACAGGAGAGAAATAAATGAGAGAAGAGAAATGAGAAGCCAGTGAGTTGAGAAAAGGAGTGCAGGGAACAGTTTGTTGCGACAGCATGATGTAGAGGAGAAAAGGGAAACAAAGGATGCAGAGAGAAGTATTTGGCAAGAGGAATATATTACCGTCAGGGATGAAAGGAAACAAATGGGGAGGAGATGATAGAGGAAAGGTCAGAGAAGCAAAAAGGAAGCTTTGGATAAGGCGAGGTCTATTGACTACCACATTCTAAACTGTCACTTTAAAACTTTCCCTCCAGAGTCTCAGTCTGGTTTGTCATTGTTATCAAAGAGAAATGAAAACCTCATACTGTCACATGGCGATGATACAACGTATGCTTTTGAATAAATGGGTTAAACTTTTTTACATATGATTTATCATTACAGCGAAAGAGAGGACTGTGTGAAAGTAGCAGCAGCTTCTCAAAGCCCCTGTCACACTGTCCCCGAAATTGACTCCCGAATATGGAATTGTGAATTTCGCACGAAGATGGCCCCGAACTTGGTCATCGGCCGAGCAACAGCCGAAGCAACAGCCGAAGCAAGTACGATGCCTACAGAAGGCAACACGATGGGCAAAATGGACACACGAAGTCAACACGAAAATTAACCTTCGCAAGGTCCTTCGGCAATGCTTTGTGATGGCAAAGATGTTGCCACCGCTCAAGAAGTTGCTGCCGGAGCCTGAGAAACTCCATCGGCGGTCATACGAAGGCTTAAGATGCCCTCACGAATGGCCCGATGTTGTTACGATCAGAGACGAATTTGAACATTTCCTTTATCGTGTGTCCATCGGGTGTCAATTTCGGGACAGTGTGACGCGGGCTTAAAGCAATAGCTAAAGGTTTGTGGGAATACACTTATTGGTTTTCTGTCAGAGATTGAGATGTGTAGATTGATAGCACTCTTATCACTGTACTGTAAATAAGTAGCTACAGCAAGCAGACAGGTAGCTAAGCATGAAGACCGGAAACTCACGTGACTGACTCCTTAATAAATGTACAAACTTATGTTCAGGCACATGATAGTTGACTTAAACCTTTGTTGTAGTGTTGTATTACAATGTGTCATATCAACATAATTGTTCCCAATAGGTTGACAAATTAAAGATCAGATGAGGTACTTTTACGACAGCAGGAACATTTTGAAATGTTATTGGATTCACCTCATTTTCCTTCGACAGATTTCATCCTGTTAATTCCATTAGCCAAATGAATACTGCATATACCGCAATACTTATGAGTAGTATTGATCTCCTAGTTTAAGTCTTGGTTGAGAAAGTAGTTTTCCTTGGCAACTGGCAAAAACAGAAACTGTGACAAACTGAGGTTAATCATATGAGCACCAACAACTGTATTCAAAGATAAAGATGTCCATTTATAGCCGCACATTTGTAATCTGTTTCACACACCTGTGAGTGGGTATTTCTCTTCTGAGATGTTCATCAGTGCACTCACGTACACAGAGTGGAGATTTAGCTCAGGAAACCCAGTCGATATTGGTGACTAATCAACAGTGGGGGATAAGGGAGTCATTAAGTACAGGGGGTGGGGGTCGGGAAGCAAGATGGCCGATCCATCCCTCAGTATATTTCCTCATGGGGCCGGCTTTATGAATGACCCGTTGATCGTTGATTTAATGGAGTCTGGAGGGCATGCGAAATGATAGATGCTGTTCCCCTGTTCCCCCAGGAGCCCGTGGTTCTCGCAGACGCAGTAATGTGGTTTACTTTGCAAGGCACCGCCCAGAGAAACACGCCATGTCGACAGCTGTCGTAGCCAACTTATTAAGGTGATTAAATCAAAACAATGGAAGCGGGGGCGGCCGGCTGCTTGCACGGTTGGGGACTTTGAACTGTGCTTTAGCGAGGCTAATGTTTGTTTGTTTTTGAAATAAATGTAGTAACAGAAACGCCCCTAAGTTACTCCAGTGGAATATAGGTCACCGTATGGAAAAATAACAAAAGTAATATGAAATATGAAAAGTAGAAGTTAAGCAATGTTTTGGCAAGAAACATTTAAATCAAATTGTGTCACATTTTGACAGATATTTTAGAAATGTGGGTTGATGTTTTTAAACCTGCCCCGAGCAGACTGAGATGTCTTGTATTTTGTTCCCTTCAAAAAATAGCCATATTTAGAAGATAGCCTGTCAGACAAAGTTGCCATTAAGCTGGCAGCTGACGGAGATGTTCTGAATATCATGTGGATAAAAGGATTCCTTCGACTTGGATTTGCCACAGGGAGACACACCAACGCCTATTTGTTCAATTGGTTTCGGTAGGTTTTGAACATGTCTGTGTTCAGTCAAATCCTACTCACCACCATGCCAGTCTTGAGTAGCAAGTAGTGCACAGTCTGTGTGACATCAGCAGCGTGCATCAGGTTGTGGTAGGGGTTTTTATGTTTGCTGTATCCCACTTCTAGGGCCTCAATGAATGACACCACCGCAGAGATTGGGATCTGATGGCAGACAAAACAACAGCAAATGAATGCGAGCTAAAAAAACAAAGCAGATACTTTTAAAAATAACTTTCTTAAATCTATTCAGTTATTCAAATAATGAGCCCATAACATTTCAATGCACGCATAGCACCCTCAGCATCTGAAATTGATGTCATCAATTCATGGATCGTGAATCATTTAGGTTACTGCAGACTATAATTACATATTCATGTCGGCTTCATTGCCTGTGTCATTTACTCTTAAGATGCTGTCACTTAAAGTTGAGTGTCCTCAGCTATGGCACGCGTTGGTAAATGAGCTTCACCACGATCAGACGAGATCAAATGTGTCCAACCCACTTTATAATAAGTTCATTGTTAAAATACAACAACACGATCTAACACTTAAGAGACAGAGAAGGGAAGGGGAAATGTGAAGGTCATTCTGTTTCTTCTTGTTTTAATGTCACAAAGGTGCAGCAGTAACCAGTAGTACAGTATACATTATGTATATAGGTATGTCATATCCTTCTGGCTTTACCTTGAAATGGTTAATAAGGTCGTATCTTGTGAGCAACTCGTAGAATATGAATTTAAGAGCATGATCTCCGCTGGCCTCATTTAGAGCGAACACGTCGAACGACCACTTGTCAACATGCTGTATGGGGGAAAAAAAGAAAAAAATCAAATATTGCTTTGAACTTGTCCGATAACAATGTATTCGTGTTCTCAAAAACATCGATAATATTCAAGGTGCTGCGAATCAAATCCTTGTAAATAACTCATGTAATATAGTCGTGGCACATAAGTGTACTAAGTTGTTATTTCATATCAGTGTGCTTCAGCTGGGATGTGTGCGCACATGATAATACCTTAAGCACAGATATGACTGAAGGGGGGTAGCTCAGTCCCACCATATTGGAGGTGCGTCTGTACATCCTGTGTGGAGGAGATAAAAACATCAAATAAAGCGCAGCGCTGAGTTTAAACACCAGAGGTTACCATACCACACTAAAGCCTATAAGGTTACCCACCATCTCTATCAAATCCTCAAATCCACACATCACAGTATGCAACTGAAGGTTAAGTTGGAAAACAATCACACCGGCAAGTCTGTTTTTAAAGCAAAAGGTTTCAGGCTTTGTCGAATATATGAGAATATATATGCAACCAAACCATAAAATAAAAAGATATTCTGTCGTCAATAGAAGCAGTTGAAAGGCAGCAAAGTTAGTTTACATTGCATAGCATCTGAAACATAGCGTGATACAGTACAACTAAATGTGTAATTATTTCAAAAGTGCATCCTTACATTAGCTTCCCTGAATGCACCTTTGTATCTGCTGGCAATGTTGTCAAAATACAACATTTTTCAAATTTAAAAATGGTGGACACTCATGCTGCCGAACCCAATCCCTCCTCATTGTAAATATCTGAAAGCAGACTGCCCTCTGTAAAAACAGATTAAGAAAGATTATAGCTTACATGTTTAAGACTTACTGACATGAACAAATGCATGTTGCATGTTAGTGTGCGATAAAGCATAGCCTCGGAGATGGAGCTGTTTGCAACTCTCTGAATGATTGTGTTTACATGTAGCTGTGCTCGCCAAGGCTGGGATGATGTATGGTCGACTCAGGTGAGTGAGTCACCGTGCAGAGGATGCACACATAATTCACACAGATACTGTAGAAATGTTAAAGAACCACACCAGGGCTGAGACCAAGCTGTAGACCTCTGATGTTTTAAATTGTCTTCTCCACCTTCTCAAATGCCAAACGTTTTAGTTCAGTAGACATACAAGGTCAGAGAGATTTGAGACACATGCACTGCATAACCAATCAACAATAATCTAACCTAAGAGACCTCGAAAAGGTCTTTATGGCACATTTTTGGCATCTGTAAAATGAAACATATGGCAATGAACGATTGTGAGGAGAAAGGTTCACATTGTTAGCATTTCTTAAATTACACACAATTCAGACACTCAAACAAAATGGAGACTAAATATAAGGCTATTTCTGCCTGGAAGGTTAAAAAAATTATAATTCTAAACTCTTAAATACGGTGCTTTGCAAAATGTCTAGAAGGGCAGGTGAAGAAAATGCACTGAAACAATATCCATTCATTATTCAAGGCCAAGCGAAAGATGTTGATGGAAAAGCTTTAAGTCTGTCGTATATATAAAGGCTCTACACAGACATTGGTCTGGTCCAACAGGGCAAAGATAAAGGTGACGATCCATATTCATTATTTATCTGTGGCTTTGTGTTTGTGCATCACACGGGTTTACCTCTCAACAAATATGCCAGCCTGCACGGCGTGGACGATGCTGCGGAAGCGAGGTTTCTCCTCATTGCGCCGCAGCATCAGGCCCATCTGCCGGGTGAAGGTGGAGGCCAGCCAATCCCGGACCTCGGAGGGCACGGACTCTGACTGGATGTCACTGAGCTCATCCTCTGTGTCCACCAAACGCCTGAAAGAGGGGAGAGGAGAGGGGTGTAAGGTGAACGACACAAACAAATGAAAAATAAAACAAAGCATGGTCAAATCAGACAGATGCTGAGAGACTAAAGGCTTACTAAAATATTTAGAATTGATCACAGCTCTGCTGTCACAGGGGATCAAACTCAAAATCCTAGTGCTGTCAATCAAATATTATCACTTCTTATATAACATCAAAACATCCCCGGCCTCTTGAGACCCCATGATGGGGAGTATTCAAATCCAATTGTGTGAGATAATGCTCTACAGCTACGCTCTTGTGATGACATGGACAAGGGATCAAGAGAAAAGCCTGTTGGTCCCCACCCTCTGAACTGAATACGTTCTTATGGCAGAGTGAAAGCATTGACACCACAGTGATAATCATGGTGCTACATGGATTCTGCAGCGCGTAGTTCATCATCCTCCATCCTGGAGTGGTCGTGACATCGCTGGCCCTAATCTGGTGGGATCTCGATGGCGGGAGCCTTACATAATTCCATAAGCCTGGTCATATCTTGGATTCTGGACCTGCATTAAACTACTGGCATACACTGACCTTTTGTATTCCCTCAACCTAACCATACCTACACATATCTTTGACATAAGAAAGATCTTTCCAATCTCTAAATCTTTTATATTTGTGGGTTTTTAGGGATAAGAAGTTGTTGACTGTGCATTCAACTTGCCCACATGTGGGATATCAACATTATATGACATGCTTAAAGAAGTATTTAGGTAAGAAGAATAAGTGAAAACATACAAGTAAGTCCGTGTTATATGGTTGTAGTATCAATTATGTTGATGTAATAGTAAGTAAGTAGCAAGTATTTAATTTGAACCGCATCATATGCTTTTGGTAGTTTAATCTACAGTATAACAATAACTACTTTATCAAAAAAAGTAACTGATAACAAAGCTCTTCAAATACATAGTACAGTAAGAAATGTAATATTTCATTGTGACATTTTGTGGATGGTAAGTACTTCAGTAAATGTCACTTTTTTTGAGTTATGAAAGCATTTGCAATGTGACGTTTCTGTCTATCATTGTGTAACCCAACTGACAGACAAACTGTTTTAAATGAAACTAATTACAGCACAGGTGCCACACTAATGATAGTTCTCCGTCTTCCAAAGTCTGGCCTTTGTCATTACAGCGCTGTTGTTCTCAACAAATGAACCATGTCAACACTCGTGCGTTTGTTTCCTTACCTCGTCTCCTCCACATAAACGGATTCCAGCACCAACGCGGCATACTCGAGGTTCTTCTTGAGGTCTGTGAGGGAAGCCTCTCCTCTCTCCAGTTGCTTCACCAGACATCGTAATCTAAAACAGAGATTCGACAGTCATTTAACAAATTGGATTACTCCCAAGCCGTCTTGACATGAGAAATTAATTGCAACTGATATTGAATTAATCTGGTCTGGGTTCCTTTTGCACTAGGCGACCTTTCTTTGGTTTTCTTCTGGGTATAAATTACTACGTGGGAGAGCAGTAGAAAACAAAGAAAAAACACTTCTTTTTTTTAAATGCAACAATGCAGACTTGTAAATCTGCAGACTTCTCCATCGACAGAAAAGTACAAACCTTGGCCGAGAGCCAACAGATAAAATGGGTATTTTTTTCTTTTAAGAATATATTCGATTGACTCTCTTTTTAAAGTTTAAAGAAATGAGTCACTATGGACCAAAAGGTTGGGTTAGGATGGGACATATTAACGTGTTTTTGTATACTCCGTTCTTTCAAGTCGATTTAAGCTCTGATGGGAGTCTTAGTCTTCTTAATTCAAAACAACATTCCCTTTTTCAATATCTTTAACTGGCATCGGTATTTCTCGACAGTCTGACTTACACAGGTGTCATTAATAACATCAGTAATTGCTAGGTGTATCAGTTAGCTCTGGTATCAAGCATGCTGGCTCACACTTAATTGGAATGAAGCCATCGTTAACGTTATTAGTTCCACGTGTGCTTTTCTTGCTAGGAGAAGTCAAATGTCTTGGCTGATTTGCATGTGTTGGCTTTTTTAAATGAAATAGCTTTAATATTGCAAATTCAAGGCGCTACTTTACTATGTGGCTTTTAACTCCATTTCATCAGATTGCAGCGATGAACCAGGGACATTTGTTGACATAAAGGTATTATTGCTTTCAAGGTTGACAGTCACAGCATAAACCAATTGGGTATGTTGGATGTGTAGTTCGCTGATTTCACGTCAAGTTATTATAGAGGACATTTTCCGAAATGCAAACTGTATTTTGAGGTGTAGGAAAGACTGGAAAAGGAACTGAATAAATTAATATTTCAGCGATGCAACACGACTGAAACGATCAAACACAATCTTTTTTGTTATTTGTCAGTACTTATCCTCTTGAAGTTCCAGGTCAATATATTCAGTTTTGTTCCAAATATTCTCCAGCCCCAGCAAAACCCCCACTATAAATAGACACCAAAGAGCAAAGCAAGCAAACACCATTTTGTGCACACTGCTACCGCTTGCACTTTGCCACCTGCTGCTGCGCTGGAGGTCACACGCTCCCCTTCACAGTGAAGGCCCACAGAGGCTACGCTTGCTGTTGAATTATTAAGCAGAAAGGTAGAGAGAGTAAGGGGTTTCAGATGCTTTCATTGATTATATTCCCTGAGAGCGGTTGCAGTTGTTGCGACGGCCCAAAATGTTTTCTATGAAAAAGGTTGAAACAACAATGATCTAAATATCTAAATATTCATGGAAGTAGTTTGCCCAGTGTTTTATTTTTACCGTCAAAGTTTGGGTTGGGGCCTAAATGCAATAGAGAAATGGTTTGAGTTCCAAACTGTATATCAAGCTGCAGGGCTTCAATGCCAACCAGTGACATAATGTCTGCTCTGTAATAATATCATCTAGTATACGGAATATATTCGTGGTACCCCTAGTCCACCTCTGACAAAGAGCCACACATTCATGATTTCCATATTCATTCAGATATGACTGCATTTCCCCCCCAATTCCAAGGCAATTCATTCTGTAGTTTTTCCAGGCCGTTCACTCTGAATAAAATTTCAATCTGCAGCAGCACACCAAACACTGTCTGGGAACCATGAATGTCAAACTTTTATAGCCAACAGGATGATATTTGCTATGAAAAAGGCAAACACATTTGATTGCACGAACAAGATGAATCTGTTCCCGTGGAGATTGTTTTGTAAACAAACCAAACTTATGTTCACTTGCAAAGGAAAAAAGGACCAGAGAAAACTGATAGGCTTTGAGCCTCACCAAAATGAATGTGTGTATCGTTGAGGTCTAGTGCAGTTATTGTACACAATGTTGGTGTTGTGTACATTACCTTTTGAATCCAGCCTTGTTTATATTCACCTACTATTCATTTTCTTCCTGGCTTTTGCTAGCACATCAAAGCATATCAACCGTATTACTGCCATATGTGGAATAGTGTCCCCACAAGACAAACAACACATGGACCAACTCAGAAAGAAAACCGCTTTGCAGAGCTAGAGATCTAAGACCTATAAAAGAATATTTGACTATAACAACAGCTCTTTACATGCAAATCTCTCTCTTGAGCTATTGTCTGAAAGCTATTGTAGGAATCATAAGGAAGTGAATGGATGGCGGGTAAGCTGCAACTCTAAAATCACTGCACATATCAATTGGTTGGATCTAATGATGGTTATTAAGAACAGCTGTGTGCCAGTGAGCTTCCCTGCTAATACACAAGGATAGAACAAAAATCCTATCTCCTTTAATAGAGATCATTGACTATAACCCATCAGAAAGGGTTAGATGTGCTCAGCTGGTCATTCCCTTTGATTTGATATCTTGCAATGCAGTGGTGCCGGCACGCTGTGCTCACGTTGAGTTACATTAGCACATGTACTGATAGAAATGCCTCTGGTGAATGCTTCTGCAAAATGGCTTTGTCAGAGGCTCATTGCTTTTGTTTGTCTAACAATACGCTAAACTAAATGGCTAATCAATTTTTGTTGTTCACTCAAAAGACAATTTACCAGATGTGGAGCCTCCAGGACGTCTTTATTGTGAGGATTAATGCCTTTTCAAAATGCTGAGATAAAAGAAGAAACCATTTTAGAGTATGAAAGACTTGTATTCCAAACATCCCTCTGTTCAATGCACAAAGCCAGACAACATTGGATGAATATAACCATTCAGAAATAAACTTTGTTGAATAATAACAACGTTTTGTGATGATGAGGCAAGTGCCAAAATGTATGAGAAATCAATGTCTCTGCCAAGCAAAACAAAATGGGCTCGTTTCACCTGCAGTCATTCCCCAGGGAGCGACACGCTGGGTTAACAGCACGGGTCAGAGTAACTCCTGGGCACAGAGCCAACCTGGGGAATTCAGTTTGAGCCAAGGAGAAGCTAATAGGGTGCAGGAGCAACAGCCATGTCATTTGATATGCCTTAACAATTCTCACTCTGGATTGATGTGATATGGAAAGTTAAGGGAAACTACGTTCAGTCCATTCATAGTTTTGCAAGCCAAACAAATGGAATCGCACGGATAGATTTTTTTAATAACTTCAAATGAAAAGATAAAGGAACTATACAAAACAGTAGGATTAGGATAAACTATAGATTGATATGACAGTATAAGATGCTTTTAGGGCTGCCATTAATAAACATTTGTATTATTTGAAGTCCCGTCTGAAGACCCGCCTCCTTTCCCTCGCTTTCGAGTCAGTTTGAGCTGTTTTATCGATTTGTTTGCTTTTATTGTCTGTCCATAGCCTTTATGTACCTTTCTATTCTTATGTGTGCCTTTTATCTGTTATTGTAATATTATATGTTATTATAATGTTATGTTTGCTGTGAAGCACTTCGGTAAACCCTCTGTTTTTAATATGTGCTAGATAAATAAAGTGGATTGGATTGTGAAATGTCTGAAACTGATGAATAACCTGAAGACGTTGGTGTTGCTTTCAAATGTATCGTTTTCAAAAATCCAAAGATATGAATTCCTCAATTATATAAAGTAGGGAACACTACGACATCTTTAATGTGATAAATAACTCAAGCGACTTGTAAATTAACAAAGAATTGCACTTTTGTCAAAACTGCTATCGTGAGAATCTGACTCATACATAAACATGAGATGCAGGCAATGGTCTGATCGGTCTTCATGTGTGTGTTTTATACAGCTCAGACGTTACGTTAGTACGTTTGAAACATATTGAGCATTCAGAAGGAGAGCAGGCAGGTGGTTTAGACATTTTGAGTTCACTTTTTGAAATCCCTTCTGACCAACGTGACTTCAAGCGGATCACAGTTTCCATTCTCTAAAGATTAAGATACAAAAGCTGATGTTTTCTGGGGAAGATTAAAATAAACATATTTGATTTAAAAGGCCAAAAAAAGATGTTGAGGTGGAGTACCGTTAAAAGGCTTAGCACTGAAGTTGTGGGTCTTTTACTGAAATCTACAATCGTCATGAAAGATAAAGAGTCTAAAGATAGAGACTGTCCTGTGTTTTGCACAGGTTGTCAAACCCTCAATGTTTTGGGTTATACAAATAAACCTGTTGGAGCCACACGAGAATACAAGCAGCTCAAACGTTTGCTTCACTTCTTCTGAACGACGCTGTGTCATCTGCAAACACATGGCGTTTGACAGAGAGCTTTTATTTGAGTTGCTTAACATCTATCAGCTTTGATGAGTGCTTCTCAGATTTATCGTGGGATGTCTCCCGTTTGACAGCTCAATAGGTCTGACGGCTGCAGCCAGATGGGGTCAGCTGGTAAGGCTTGACCTTAAGGAGCTCTGTTATGAAAGGGTTGAAATACACCTTAACAAGTCCTGGCATGTGTTGAGCTGTGATTGTGTCAAGAAATTGAGGTGCAGTGCGGAGTTCATTATGTCTTTGCAGACCTTTGAGCTCGTAGCTGTAAGCAGGCTTATAGTTATATTGAGTCTCTGCTGGCTGGAACGGGGATTAGGACAGTTTTATCAGAGCTGTTTTAACTACGGAAGAAAGAGTAACACGGGGAATGGGCATTAACAAAAGCATGAGAACCAAAATGCATTGTGATTGGAATAGCAATATTTAGCTTTTAGTAGAATACACAGCAAAATGTTCTCCTATTTCAAGTCAGAATATATGACTGTTTTAACTCTTTTAGACTACACACTTTTTATTAATGTTATGTTTAAGTAACATTACTCATCGTGCACAATTCCCTAAACTTCCACTATCATTTCAGTAATACAATCCCTCATCCACTGAAATGACTCTTCCAGCGGTTGCGAGGTTAAGCAGGTCGGTGACAGAGTGCGCCTCCAGCTGTCTACCTCCATATCTGAAGATG